CCCCAAAACCCCAAAACCCCAAAACCCCAAAACCCCAAAACCCCTATGCCAGCTAATGCCATTGAAATTGGGTAAGTTGTTTTAAGTGAGAAGTTAGATTTATTCATCATCTTCATCCTCGTCTTCGGCTTCATCTTCGTCAGAGCCTTCTTCGGAGCCATCTTCAGAATCTTTGTTTTGTTGGTCCACAGCGTACCATTCTTCTTCGTCCTTCTTCTGAGTAGCATCAACGTTCTTGACGAATTCACTGTAGAAGTTTTGTCCGAGCTTGTTCTTTCTGTTTTCCTTAGCTCTGGCAGCTCTAGCCTTAGTTCTCTCTTCGTTCTGCTTGATGTTGAGTTCTTTCTTCTTCTGTTCGAATGGGTTCAATCTCAACTTCTCTTCTTTGTTTCTGAGAGGGTTGACCTTCTTAGTGAAAGTATCTGGGGTTCTTGGAGCTCTGATGGCTGATTGGATTTGATCAGAGTTTATCAATCTGCTCAAGTCAGCAGTGTTTACCATGTGTCTTTGGAGTCTGTATCCACCCTTCTCAACTCCGGCCTTCTTGTAGGTACCGAAAACGGTTTCCAAGTTTTCAAAAGCTTTCTTGGTCCAGATAATGAGTCTACCAACATGACCTCCTGGAGCCAATTGAAGGATGTTCAATTTTTGAACTCTGCAGGTATCTACACCTAAGATGTTTCTAGCAGCGAGTCTAATGTCTTTCTCAGTGATATCATGAATGATGAGTGGTCCTCTTCTCTTGACATATCTTCTGTTTCTCATCTTTCCCTTTCCAGTTCTAATCTTCTTGGAAAGAGCAACTCTCTTAAGTTCATCCTTTAATCCAAGAGTGATCAAAGCGTTGAGGACATCCTTGGTCTTAGTTCCAGTGAATCCATCAACAACGAGTGGGATCTCAGTTACATCATCGATTCTGTGTCCTCTTGCCATAACTAATGGAGCAACAGCTGAGGCAGCGAGAGCAGAGGCAACAGCGTGTCTCCTTTCTCTCAAGTTGGTCTTTTGATGCCACTTTCTGTAGACCTTGAGTGGAGCGAACATGTGTCCCTTTCTACACATGTTACCGAAGGCTCCCTGTCCAGATCTGTGAGATCCAGATCCTCCAACTCTTGGGATTCTTGCAACAGCTCTTCCTGTTCCCCAAGATTCAGCTGAGGTCTGATGACCAGCGAGGAGAGAGACTCCTCTGGCTTGTCTCTTGTTGAAGGCAACTGAATTGTGGATGACGTTAACGAGGTCTGGTCTGATTGGAGTAGTCAAAACTTCTGGCAATGGGATGGAATCTCCAACTTGGGACTTGTCCTTAGCACTGTAGACAGTGATGGTTGGTCTGGCAGACATATCTAGTGTTTATTTATAATAATATAATAAAAAGAGTGTATTTCTTCAAATATGTTCCAGAGCAAGGGGTTTTGGGGTTTTGGGGTTTTGGGGTTTTGGGGTTTTGGGGTTTTTGGG